TATATATATAATTTACGCAGCTCGTTCGGTACATCTCTCCAGAATATATCATCATTCTGTTGTTGAGCAACGCTGAAGTCATGTTAACCTTCATTTTTCACGTTCATCATTCCTCCACTTCTTCATCGCAAGCGTTTGGAATACCGGAAGAAACAGATCGCTTTCTCGACCAGTCATATTAACGGAACCATTTACATTCATATTTTAAGAGAATACTGCAGTTGTCATTATGGGAATTTCATGCAAATTCGAGCGAATAATCGAACATGATAGCAAATGACTAGAATTGGAACAAATTGTTTGAATAGCAATTCAGCAAAATTCAGATTGCTTTTGTGATGGCGTATTTTTTTTTTTTGATTACAAGTTGTATTTTGTTTTTGAAATATTAATTCCTCCTCCGGTTTGAGTGCTTTAATGTCAGCGGTCTATTTTGAAGGTAAATTTCCTTAAAAATTATGCAAAATATGACTGTAAAATAATTCATCAAGGACGTTTATGTTATAATTGGGGATTCCTTATGGAAGTTTTTGAATCTCCTCCTCCTCCTCCCCCCCCCCCCCCCCAAAAAAAAAAAAAAAANAAAAAAAAATTAACATGCATTTCACTGACTCTAGATCAACGGCAGTTTCAAGTGATATCTGTAGCGTTATCTTTCGGAACTATCATCTCTCTCATTACCTTTGAAATGTATCAGCTATTGTTGCTGAGCTGCAGTAAGAAACTGTTCGAAATTGTCATAAAAGTGCGAGGAAAGAGTCGTATTGGAATATTTTTAGCTTGTCGTTAGAAAAAGCGTATGAGTATGAACGTGAACACGGTGCTTTTGTTGAGTCGGAGGATGATCATGATTGCTTCACACATTGCTTAGATTCTTGTCAAATTCATGTACGTTTTTTGCTAGTTGTAAGCACGTATGTTCTGACAGACGAATTGTCAGTTACGTTTATGCAGTTGTCGTTAAAATACGCGTTTAACTTACTATGTTCAACGCGACAACCGTATTTGTGTGTGCAGAGCATGTTAGGTTTAGCATTCAACAACATTCTCTTTCTATTTAATACCTTCCTTAGGCGTGAAATAAATAGTCATATCCTGATTGCACATTCTTTGTACTTACTGTACATTTATCTAAGATGTTGAGGGTTTCTGAAGGTGTTCATGCCATCATCCCGAAAACGTTTTCAAATCAGAATCAAATGAATGAATTCTGGAAAAAAATGAAATGAAATGAATTCATGAAATCATAGAAATGAATTCTGGATGAATCGTATTTCATCTCAAAAAATTTATTAAAGAGTTTCGGACCTTGCTTGAAGAATCAATCCTCCAATGGCATCGAATGATTCACAGATTGATAGATGAAGTGAGTTGATATGGTGGTGTTAGTCACAGAAATCACAATAACAAAAATGATACCCTTAATAATAATAGTATCACTACTAATGAAAAAATGATGAAAAAACAATAATAAAGGACAGTAATAAAAACAGTTTTAATAATAATAATATTAAGAATAACAGTGGTAGCAAAAAGGATAGCAATGTTTGGATAAAATGATCCGTTTCAACAACCTAATATAGAAAGAGCGCTTCCGCAATGAACAACTCCAAAAATAAATGCGGTGCATAAATAAAAATGGTTCGCTTGATGAGTGCACAAATCTACAAAATTGAATAATGTTTTGTACAGCTGATCCAATCTAGTTGATTCATTGAGTAAATAATATTAACATTATCCTTTAGTTTGTACATCATTAACTGACTATAATTGTAAACATCCGCTCCATGCAATGAAAAAATTATCATAATGCCATTTCATAAATATACAATTTTAATTCGGTTATCGCTGTGCACATGTGCCCTTTCCTGGGCACGCTTTCAGCACATCTTACATATATACACAATCTGTGATCAGCGTTGCCGATCGGTTGGTTCGCTTCACTTCATCGCTTTCATTTGATATCAGTGGAACGCTGCAGTATCTCATCACCGATATTGCTAATGCAGCTGACTTGCTTTTACATCACTCTTGTTCAGTTTGCTCACTTTTTTGTCCCTCGTACTACCATCTAGACTTGGCAATGGGCAATCTTTTTCAACAGATAGCGACATGGCAAATTTTGAGCATCCGATGGTTCCAATCGGTAATCATCGAAATGCGGTAGCCACCAATTTTCGGTGATCGTCGATAATCGGTATTTTCGGTTTCGACCATTGGCGTTGAAATTCAGTCTTCGGGGGGCACCAGAACTCGGTTTTCTGAGGCTATCGACCAATCAGCCGCTTTCGATTCCAGTCGGTGGCAGCTGGCCCATCTCTACTACAATAAGACACTTACAATGAGCATTACATCTGAATTTCTCGCATACTCCCCAGTTGTAGCCTATCGCCGAAACTGTTTCAACCAGTTCGTAAGTTACTGTCATAGCTGTCATTTACAATACAAGAATTTATTTACAAACAGTGTTTTATTTAATGACGATTCGGAATTGTGATTGTTTGCAATCATATGTAATCCTTTCCGCTTGAATAACTCATAGACTGATCATAGAAACTCGTTGATGCGATTGTATCAATTTTTTATTCTTTCTTAGTGCATGCGTACACATACAGCTAGATAATAATACAACTAGCTCACTGGGTGCATATAACGGTTTGTATTGATATATTGCTATGTTTGAACAATTTTTCATGCTTATTCTTATCTATGTGCATTCGTTTTCCTTCATTTTAATGCACTTTCAATTCATTCATCTCTCAATTTCAAATTCCTTACATGTATCAAATTTTTAAGGCGGGATGTTCAAGTATATTCGTACCCATCATTCAATGTTTTAACATCAGATTATTAAGATTTTGATGATACATCCACTTTCCCCACCAAAATCTTCAACAGCCTTCTTATTTCTATTTGATTATTTTGGTTTTCATCATCAGCATTTTTCATCTGACATTAGAGGCATCAGTTTAGTATATAAATAAAATATTTTTAGTTCAGTTTGATCATATATTAATGTGTTTGCATTCAACTTTCTTGCAAATTAAAGTGCTATTCAATTAGACAATTCAGTGCGTTAAATTGGTTTTTCAGGTATTACTTCGTGGTAGATAACATATCGAATTAATTTATGCTATTGTGATACATTTTCTGATCCAATTTTGACTGTATCGCCCTGCTCGCTCTATGCTTTCGTAGAGCACGGATTCACGGACACACGAGCAAGGGAACTGAATCGCTCCATTGACATATAAGAAATCTCACCCAAACACAACTCATCCGTGACGCGAATTTCTCCACTTTTACTCTCATATTCGTAAATCATGCTTATCACTTGAGTGTCTATAAATTCACGAAAAAATCTGTCGAAATTGGTGTTTCAGTTATTGACTTCTTGCGTTCGAACGGAGAATCGTATCCTCGGGAGTGCGTTTTTCCCGCACCATTTTCTTTCACTGATCACCAAGCTTATGTTGATATTTAACGTCGTGTGGGGCACTTTCTAAATTTGTAAAAAAATATAGCAACATCACTGAGAATGCATTGTTGTTATTCATTCTTATCATTGTGCTATCTACACAGTTTTTGATTCACTGAATTTTGTGCGTTGCAATTGTTTATGACAAAGAAGTCAGAAAGAGTGCAGTGATGTGTTTTTTAAAAAAGTGTTTGATTGACTGATTGACTGATTCAGTTTGAACTTATGTGTATGCGGAGGAATAGATTCGACAGATTTTGTGACAGTTTACTTATTTCCTGTTGCATTTCATTCTATCGTTTTCCTTGTTCATCGATTGTAAAGACATATCAGTTCGTTCATTCATTTATTCACTTATTCATCCGATCATCAATTTGATTTTATGCAATTGGTAAATCCCATTAATATTTTATAAGGCAATGCCACAATCCATAAGCAACTTCTACTTTGAAACTATTCATCCACGATATGCAAAATCTTTCGATTCGTTCTAGTTGCCTAAGAATTATTTCTTGCACTGTTTGAGGTGATATAACCTTCGAAGGGCCGTATGATTATCGTCATTATCATTATTACCTATCTCATTTGCAGTTTCAGATCGATGCTCTTGTTGTGTGAAGAAACCACGAATCAATTCGTGTTATAGGGTAGGTGTGTTAAGAAGCGGAAGTACGCTTACTTGTGACAATCAACTCAGAGGTGGAAGTAAGCGCACTGCTGCTTGTTATTCGAGCAAATCAAGTGACGGATGCCCAACTTAACCTAAACG